CTGTAGAATATTTTATACTTTGAAAAAAGCATTATTTTATGCAGTATTGTAACTTTATTTTTATTTTTAAATCCATTGTGACATTTTGTCATTTTATATTGTTGGCATAAGTCCAAAATAAACTGTGTACCAGTCTTTCAATCACTGTTTTATTTATCCTGAGAGATTCCTTATCTGTGCTGCTGCCTTTTAGCAGACTTTTCAAGTGAAGTTCCCAGTACAACACAACAGCAGCCACAAGGTCCTCAGTGACTTTCTTGGCTCATTAGGTATGTGAATGTAGGATTCGCAAGTGCCAGGACAACGCTTACCTCTGGCCTGTTAGAACTAGGTTCAAATCAGCACTGAGCCATGAAACTAACTCCACTTAGGCCATCACCTTTTCTGCTTCACAGACTTGTTTGTATGTATAAAGTGTGTCTGAAGAGAAGCACTGTATTACATAAAAAATAGAATTAGCAGAATGGGGAAGGGAGATAAATGGAATCAATACATCCTTGAGTTTCTTTGAAATAAGAACCAGAGAATGAGTTGTCCAAAGTCAGCCAGTAAGTTTCCATGGTCAAGCAGTTATTTGAACCTTCGTCTGCTGGAATCTTATTCCAACACTAGTTCACAACTGCTTTCATTACCAGCCATAGTTTTTAAATGTGTTTTGTGCCACTGTTCAATGTTTATGCTATTTTGTGTATGAGATTTATTTTAATTGCTTTGTATTAGTATTAGTATTTTGTTTTGTTTTGTAATTGCTATTGCTTGTATTGATGTAGTGTGGGCTCGGCCTCATGTAAGCCGCACCGAGTCCCTTGGGAGATAGTAGGGGGGTATAAATAAAGTATTATTATTATTATTATTATTATTATTATTATTCATTACCCCTTGGGATGATAGGCAAGACCCCAAAGCAAGGATATGTGAAGCTGCAGATGATGGCAAACCCTACTGAAGCAAAGATCTTACGATCCAAGAATCCCATAAAGTCTGACTGGAGAGCCTACAAAATGCCAAGAGAGATGACATATTTTATCTCATGTGGATATGAAGCCATGGATGCTAGTACCACGGATGCAGGGGTCAAACTGTAATCTAAAATACTGGAAAGCATTTGTGTATGACAGAGGTGTTGTGATGTTTTAATTTTACTCATGATCTTTTAACCAAGCCTATGGAAGTGCCCGGTGGCGCAGTGGGTTAAAGCACTGAGCTGCTGAGCTTGTTGATCGAAAGGTCGCAGGTTCGATTCCGGGGAGCGGCGTGAGCTTCCGCTGTCAGCCCTAGCTTCTGCCAACCTAGCAGTTCGAAAACATGCAAATGTGAGTAGGTCAATAGGTACCGCTCCGGCGGGAAGGTAACGGCGCTCCATGCAGTCATGCCGGCCACATGACCTTGGAGGTGTCTACGGACAACGCTGGCTCTTCGGCTTAGAAATGGAGATGAGCACCACACCCCAGAGTCAGACATGACTGGACTTAATGTCAGGGGACTACCTTTACCTTTACCTATGGAAGTGAAAGTTTTCCCAGAAGGCTTCATAATTTAATCAGTTGGGGAATTTAAAAATAATAATAATTAGGCCAGAAGGAAGAATAATAAAACAATGTAATAGAAGGGAAGAACAGAACTGTCTATGAATATCTCAAATCCAAAGGACGGGAAGACACCACACTGGGTTGGAGGAGGGAATGGTGAAGTCAAATACAATTCGTGTATAAATGTTAGGTAGTATTGCACTGCTCCATTTCTATATACATGTGTATAGTTTTGTTTCATTTTTATGAATATGTAAAATTAAAACACACACACATATACATAAAAGAAAGAGGGGAATATTATATCTCTACAGTCTTTAGAACCAGAGATGCCTAGTGAAGCATGTTTGAAGACTAGTATCAAATTTTCCCTGGCAAATCAATCTTTCCTTTGGGGAGTTTTTTTTCCTTAAGAGAAGATATTTACACTCTTGGCTGTGATAACTGGCAGTTGTTTCCACTTGGTCGTACTATAAATGCTAGATAGTTCTCTCACTCCCCTGATCTTGCCAAAGGTATGGCTAGGGATTGATGTAATGGTAGGTCATAACTTTAAAGCAAGGTGAATTGAACTGAAGTCAAGACTAAAAGGTTGTGAGAATATAGGAATTTGGGGTGGAAAGGGGACCTGGATAGGGCACATCACTATCTGAAGCGATATTATTAACCATCTCATAGCAGCATTCCTGTTGATAGTTTAATTTTCAAGTTCTCCGGCATAGGGATCTTAGCTTTTTCCAGGCTGTCCCCAGATGATATAGAATACAATCTCTTATAATTAACCATGCTTGCTGAGACTTCAGGAAGCTGGTGTTTTAAAGGTTCATTGCCTGTGTTGTATGAGAAGCTGGGTCAAAATGAATTTACTTGCTCAGTAGTACCTCTGAAGTGCTGGAAGAGAACAAATGATACAGCAGCTGTAACAGCTACTACTATATGTTCCACTGTGGAGTACTTGCAAGTCCTCCCTCTGTCGTGTACTCTTTTCTTTTCACCATTCCTTTGTGAACTATGCAGTAAAGGAAGGCCCCATTCAGGGAGTTGTGCTTACTGTAAGAACTCCTTTGGCAATTGTCTATAGAAAGTAACAATAAATCAAAAGTTTTGAGCAATCCAATAGACTAGTTTTCTTCTGTCTGGTGCCCTCCATCTGTTTTGCATTATAAGTCACCCTATCACTTTACCACTAGTGATGACATATGAACCTCTTAAACTTTATTTACTTGTGACCCCTTTTCATCTGATAAATTTTTACGTAACCCTGGCTATATCTATATAAATAAAAATGTAATGTTCATTTGTGGGATTAACATAACTCAAAAACCACTGGACGAATTGACACCAAATTTGGACACAATACACCTATCAGGCCAACAAGTGACCATCATTCATAAAAACACTGAAAAACACAACAGAAGAGACTTTAAAAGCCAAAAAACAAAAATTACATTACAACGCGTGAGCAAAACCACATACATATATATGCAAACACACACACACACATAAAACACGTATACACAGACTGGGCCACAGCAACGTGTGGCAGGGAATGCCTAATAGGTATATAAAATAAGTATCAAAAAATAAACATTTACTTATAACAAATCAGCATTTGCAAAGACTGCAAAACAGGCTGATTTTAGTTTTTGTGCAGTACAACTGCAAACTCTATTGTATACACTGGGTAGAGGGGAAAGTGCACCCTGTGAGCTACATGATGCACCTAGAATGTCCTTTTAATAAAACCGCGGGCCGGATACGGCCCTCCAAGGTCATTTACCCAGCCCTCGCTCAGGGTCAACCTAAGTCTGAAAGACTTGAAAGTACATAACACAAGAAGAACAACAACAACCCTATCTCATCAGCCAACAGCAGGTCCACACTTCACACTGAAATCCTAATAAGTTTATATTTGTTAAAATTGTTATTCATTTTAATTATTGTATTGTTTTAAAGTTTGTTTTGCACTACAAATAAGGTATGTGCAGTGTGCATAGGAATTCATTCATGCTTTTTTTTTCAAATTATAATCCGGCCCTCCAACAGTTTGAGGGACTGTGACCTGGCCCTCTGTTTAAAAGTTTGAGGACCCCTGACCTAGAATGTCCTTTTAATAAAATAAATTAAAGCAAAACAAAATGTTCCCAGGAAAACGCTCCCAAATAAGCTCTGGGAACATGAGGGAAATTTTTGCAATGTTTCACGGGCTGTTTAATATCTCAGGTGTCCAATTCTGGGCGCCACAATTCAAGAAGGAAATGATCAAGCTAGAACATATCCAGAGGAAGGCAGCTAAAATGATCAAGGGTCTAGAGACCAGTCCTTATGAGGAGAGGCTTAAAGAGCTGGGTATCATTAGCTTGCAAAAGAGAAGGTTGAGAGGAGACTTGGTCATATTTAAAAGGTTGGTATAAGGAAGAAGAGCAGGCTTGTTTTCTGCTGCCCTGGAGACTAGGATTCAGAGCAATGGGTTCCAATGACAGGAAAGGAGATTCCACCTGAACATTAGGAAGAACTTCCTGACCATAAGAGTTGTTCAGCTGTGTAACTTTCTGCCTTGGAGTGTGGTAGAGAGTGGGAGTCATTCTTTGGACAGAGACCATCTGTCCAAAGAATGTGATTGTGCTTTTTCTAAATGGCAGGGAGTTGGCCTGGATGGACAATGTGTTCTTTTTCAATTCTATGATTCTCTGATTTTTCTCAACAAGGACTGGCATGAAAATTGTCAGTGGCAAAAAAGTGATTTCTAAACCTCAAGTAGTCCAGCAGATAATTGAAAATGCTCCAACAGCCTCTTAGGACATTTTAGTGATCATTTATGGACATAAAAATGTTGTTGAAGGCTTCCGTGGCTGGAATCACTGGGGTGTTGTGTGGTTTCTGGACTGTATGGCTGTGTTCTCGCAGCATTTCTCAAGACATTTTGCCTGCATCCATGGCTGGCATCTTCAGAGGATCCTCTCCTCTGAAGATCCCAGTCACGGATGCAGACAAAATGTCTGGAGAAATGCTGCTAGAACACAGCCATACAGCCCAGAAACCACACAACACCCAATTAAAAATGCTTTTAGGGCTGAGGGATAGCAAGGAGGGCTGTAATATTTCAAGGTGTCCTACTGAACAGTGTAGCTTCCAAATTCCTGGCAGTTTTTTTTCCTGTTAGGTTTAGGCATCTTGGTTGGTGTAAATCTACTTTGTATGCATGTCACTGTTTAAAAGAGAGAGTTGTATGGCACAGATTCATACTTGCAATTGATACTTGCTTAGCATTGACATATGGCTGCATTTATTCGCTTTAATTATTAATATCTGGCTGTTACAGTGTTTTAATATTTATAATATTAAACCTGCAGTAGGAATATGAGAATTCAGTATTGTGACCTGTGGTTTGTCCTTTTCCAATATGTAGTGTTGTATGATTCTGTGTTTGTATGCATGGCTTAAAGCTGTTTTTGTTTTTTTTTTTAACAGAAGAAAACACACAGGAAGCTTTGCCCATGCAGAAATGTCTGAGCGAGAAAGTTTCCCTCTACAGAGGTGATATCACGGTCCTTGAGATTGATGCCATAGTTAATGCTGGTAAGGTTTAAAAATTCTTGGTGTGTCATATCATGTTTACATGTTTGAGTGTTCAGCAAAACATATCTGGATAGTTTCCAGAACAGAGGATGAAGAATATGTCAAACTCTATGCATTGGTTATTACAAGAACTTCAGATTAGATCCTAAGAAAAATCCAGATTTTATGATTATTGTGTAAATTATGTATAAATTCATGCATGGTGTAAAAGGACCTCCCTCCCACCCATTCAACTTTGCAGTTTTCGAACTCTACTCTGGAGGCCCTCTTGACCAGACCTTTAGGATGTGTCTTCAAGATTGGGGGAGGGGGGAGTTCTTTCTGTCTTTATTCCACTTGTCATGAGGGGTTGTTTTTGTGTCAGGAGTGACTGAAGAAACTGCAAGTTGCTTCTGGTGTAAGGGAATTGTTTGTCTGCCAGGACATTGCCCAGGGGATGCCTGGATGTTTTTGATGTTTTACTGTCCTTGTGGGAAGTTTCTCTCATGTCCCCAGATAGAGGAAGCTCATCCTTACTCTCTCTGGATTTGAACCTCCAACCTGTCGGTCTTCAGCCCTGCTGGCACAAGGGTTTAACCCATTGCGTCACTGGAGGCTGAACAAAATGAATGACACTAATGTACATACGTTGCATTAGTAAGCCTGATTTATTGGCTTTCTGATGATTTTGGAGAAATTCAGTGTTGAAGTGTTGATCTTCGAAATCCAGCAATCTGTATCTAGCTTGAGGTATTATTGGGCATTATCAGGATGTTGTTTTGTGAACATGAAGAAAGGAGATTACTGAGTTCTGTTATGAGTGTCACATTATTTTGATGTGAACACTTCCTTTTAAAGCTGCATACCAAGTTTCAAATTGACATTATCATTTGAATGTTCTCTTTTGAATATATGTATGTCCCTTTCAATAAATGTTGTCACAGATGCATGTAAACCTTGATAAAAATGTACATCTTTTGCAATACTTTCAGTAAAAGTTTCCCTCTCTCTTTCTCCTGATATACTATCTCAGAAAAGAAGAAAGATTACTTTTAGACCTCAAATGTTCTTACACTTTCAAAAACCTTCGGCTCTGTTTTTCATAAAGAAAAGTTCCATGCTGTCTGGAATGTAAGAAAAAAAGGTTATTCCTTTTGTCAGTGACACTTCTGGGAATTATCTGTGTCGCTCTAAGCCTTTATTTCTTGTAGCCCCAAAGAGAATTTGATTCTTTGGCTCCTTAATGGGTATGTGGTTTTCATTGCGGTAGCTAACAAAAATGTTCAGGATTTTGAGCTTTTGTGAAACATCACAGAATACACTTAATTTATGAATTTGTGAATGTACACAGAAATTATGATATACTTTTATGATACCTATTAAACTTCTTATGTTTGAGTCTGTGGGCATCCATTGTTACTGGACTTGCAGGATTGATTTACATCGGTTTGATGCAGAATTTAATTTTCATATCAAAAATGAAGTAAAGGTCATGGAGTAATGCTAATTTCAACAAGATTACATGGTGCAGGATTCATATATTATCTGAAAAGCAGCATAAGAAAGTTAAAACTAGATTTGGGGGAATATTGATGAAGAGAAATCTGAAACATTATTCTACTTATGGTCTTGAAATTTTACCTATATTTCTTTCTCTTGCTGTTTATATGGGCACCAACTACCACCTCTCTGTCAGTTTTAGTGCTATGTCTGGACTAACTATGAAGCTTTTGACAACATGAAATTAATCAAACCAAAATCATGATTTCAAATTTCACTCAATGTCAAGCTATATCTCACTATTAGGTGAACTGGGAAAGTAAGCAGTGGTTGAAAATATATGACTCTCCAGGTGTTATTAGACTGCGCAGATCAACATAGTGAAAGGTAAAGAGCACTTAAGAGTTGCCATGCAGTGTGGGGCAACTCTTTGCTCACCTCGTTGTAAAGAAAATGGGAATATTTTGGGAGCAAAGCAAGTGAGGAAAGGAATGGACAATCCTGCAAGTTAGGAAGCTGGTGAAGATATTTATAAATAGTTCTAGTCAAGCTGTGGAGACCAAAATCCACTGATTGTGGTAATGCGAATGTATCTAAATTAACTCAATGTATACATTACAAATACATATATCAACAAAACACAGAGCTGCCACATTCACGTTAAACAAAAATAATTGGTTCTTCTCTTGAAGGCGGTTGGGTCTACAAACAACACATATCATTAATACACACATTTAGTAGAATGATTTGTTACATCAAGTTTGTAAGTATATATACAGACACTCTACTTACTCATTTATCGAAAAAGGCTCATGTATAAAAAAAAGCTCAACTTTTGAGTTAAGTGATTCACTAACAATGTTCTTGAGGGGTGGAGCCTAAGGGGACATACATAGTGGCTAAAGGTAGTATTGCATTGTGACATGAATTATAATGATGTGTTGTTTGTAGACCCAACTGCCTGACAAAGGCTCTTGTGAGTCGAAACCGGTTGCAGGTTGGAGTCAACTCGCGTGTAACGAAGGGAATAGAACACTTATTGTGATTACTGGAGTCTACTCGCATGCAATAAAGAATAGGACATTTATTGACATTCAAAGACTATATACACATGAAGGTTTTGTTTCATACTTCCAGAGAAGAACCAATTGTTTTTGCTTAACGTGAATGTGGCCGCTCTGTGTTTTGTTCATATGTGTATTTGTAATGTATATATTGAGTTAATTTAGATACATTCGCATTACCACAATCCGTGGATTTTGGTCTCCACAGTTTTAGGGGAACCCATTTTTCTAGTCAAGCTGTAACATTTAAAATATATTTGTCCTTTACTCTAAAATGTATACTTCTGTGCACCTTACTATTTTATCTCAAAGCTGGTAGGTACTTCCTCCCTACCAGGAAATAATTCTAAAATAACGTAATCCCTATTATAGTCAACTGTCTTCACATGCTTATGTTTTCAACTGATTCTTGGCAAGGAAAAAGTTCCTTATCTTTCAACAAACATTGTATTTCTCCCATCATTTGAAAAAAGAATGTGTGTGAGAGTTGTGTGTGTGCCTTTAAATGCATAAAGGAGTTCATCAAATAAATGCAGTCATGATAGTATGACAAAACTGCACCTGTCTGAATTTCCGTGTCATCTCCATCTGGCTTCCTATGCTATAAGTGATGACAATCTAAGATCTTTTGTATTGCGAAGACGTGGTTTGTGAATATGTGGGATAAAAGTTGAACCAAAACTTGAAAATTAAAATAATTCAGTTAATTGTGTTTTAGCAGTGTCTGAAAGCAAAACAAAAACAAACATTTCACTGCCTTCTGTACCATCTCAGAAGATTACACGTTGACTCTCTTGAGGTCCATACATAACTATCTTGTCTGACAGCCTTCTGCCCATTACTTAGCCTATTATCACCTTATCAATAGCTGTAGGCCAAAATCTAGGAAGGTGTATACTGTATCCATACATGTACCTAAGATTTTCTGGTGTCTCTTTATCTTGATGGCCTTCCACTCACCATAAAAGGTTCGTTCGTGATCTTGGGAGAGAGGTTTTGCAGAGCAGAGCAAGGGGACTCAGCTAAGACAGAAGTGTCGATAAGCTGACTGTACCCAATTTCTTTCTATCCACTCATCAATCTCTTTGGATTCTGGCCAGAGTATTAATTCTTTTTTGCTTGACTGTTTGCAGAAAGCTCATATAAGCCCCAGAGCTGGTAGACTTGTCCCTTACAGCAGATGAGTAGGATCTGCAACCTGCCACTTTCCCTGCATTTTTCTTACCTATCCATAGGAATTAAATATCAGGCAGGTAAGAATTGCTGCTCTGGAGTTATCCTTGTTCCTTGCTCCACAGGCTGCCCAGAATATCAGAGCAGGGAGATTTCAAGTGGCTGAAACATATATAAATCTTATTCTATAATCAATATGTTTTCCGGGGGTGGGGGGGGGGGGCTTCTTAAAAACAGAACAGTTCCATTTTTTCACCTACTGCTTGTACTAATATAAACTTTCTCTTCTTTGAATCTTGGGGTGATATGCAGCAGTCTGTATCTTTCTTTCCTACTGGTTCTTATGTTAGTGTCAGTGCACTGGGACAGTGAAGATAAATCACTGGTTGGACAGCAGCATTTGCAAGAAATGGGGCTTTGTGGCTGGGTAAATCACTTGAAAGGCATAATATAACTTTTTATTTGCTTTCCTGTTGGTGATACAGTAAAATAAAAATACAGTAGTATTGCTACCAGGTATTAAGAATGCTGTTGAAACCTCTTTTATGTGTGGGAAATGATGTGTTTTACACTGATATTCTGATAATAGAATCCTACACTTGTCTGCTTGGAAATACATTCCCCTGTGTTGAGTGTAATTTACTTCCAGTTATAATGTGCGTAGGAATTCACTTTAAAGATTTCATGAGAAAAATAATTGTAAACTTCTTTGTAAAATTCCTATATGTAAAAGAAATGGATCAGATAATATAAAATCACTGCACTTTGAAAAATTCAATGTCTGATGATTATTTTACAGGATAGAAAGTTTTACTGGGTGATTTTTTTCCCATGGCTTCCATTGACCTTCAGGGAGTTTATGGTTTGCTTTGCAGCATCTTAATGCTGTGAAGCATCACATCCCTGTCAAGCCAAAAATTAAACTTCAAGGTAGAGGTAAGGTGTTTATATATTGGAATTGTGAACTGAATATATTAGTCATGAATTATGTTTAAATGAATGTGTTAGTATAGTCTGTTGACTAATGGAGCTATACCTCCCCACATGAACATCTTGTTAATGCATAATCAGTCACTGAGGTTGCCATGAATCTGGAGCTTAATGAACAGGTGAGAGGAAAGGAGGAATTTAAATCTGAAATTGATCTGACAGCCTATCACTGATTGCCAATCCATTTCATTTGGCAACATAATTTATCACGCAGTTAAACTTTTATTTTTGTAGCATTCTGGGAGGAAATTAATTCAGAAGCACGCCCAATAATATTGGGTCGAGTCAGATTAT